TGAAAAGGCTGTCGGATTGGCTTCCTAGCCGGTAAGTTGGTCAAGCAGTAGATCGTGACGTGGCGTCTCCGAGTGCGCAGCTCGTCTTGTGGTCGTGCCTGCGCAGACCGTGTACACGGTTCTCGGTTATGCTTCTATCTTTTCGTTGCGCATGTTCCCATTCATGCTCCAGTTGTTCCTCAAGTGATTATTAATCGCTTTGCTCATTCCGCCGGCCCATATTGTCGCACCGTTGTGGGCTAGCCGAGTTTTGGGGCCTCTTGGGGGCCGTTTTGGGGCCTCTTGGGGCCTCTTTTGGGCCTCTTGGGCGCCTCTTGGGGCGTCTTGGGGGCCTCTTGGGGGCCTCTTGGGGCCTTTTTGGGGCCTCCTGGGCGCCTTCTGGGGCGGAGGGCTCGATTTTTCAGTTCTCGGTTCCCCTCTTGAGCCCCTCTTGGGCCCGTCTTGGGGCCTCTTGGTCCGTCTTGGGCGGCACTTGGGCCGTCTTGGGGGCCCTCCTGGGCCGTTCCGGGGCCGTCTTGGGAGCCTCGTGGGCCGTCTTGGAGCGGTCTTGGGGGCCTCTTGGGCCGTCTTGGAGCGTCCGGAAGCCGAAAAAGCCAGAACGCAAAAAACATCGAAAAAAACAATGAAAATCAACGATTTTGGCCTCTTGGGGCCCTCTTCGGAGGCCTCTTGGAAGGCCCTTGGGGCGTCTTGGAGGCCTCTTGGGCTGTCTTGGGGCCCTGTTGGGCGTCTTCGGGCGATCTTTGGCCGTCTCGGGGCCCTCTTGGACCGTCTTGGAGGCTTCTTGGGGACCTCTTGGCCCGTCCTGGGGCCCTGTAACAGGGCTCCGGCATCTCTGGCCCGACCTTGCCGGGACCTTGCCGGGGACTTGCCGGGACCTTGCCGGGGACTTGCCGGGACCTTGCCGGGGTACTTTTCGTCCGGGGACCCCCAGGGGCCGCCCCGCGCGCGCGAACTAGAAATACTGTTAACCAGGTACTGGAGATCTTAGCACGCCCTGGCCCGTTGGGCCGGCGAATTTCAAGCCTCGTCCAGCATATCCAGCAGCCTTTTGCAGTCGGCACTTCTGGGGACAGCGTTACTCTAACGTTGGCGCCAGGTCTTTGACTTGCGCGCGGGGGCGCCCGAAATCGAAAGTACGCATCTGAGGAACGTGCCATGCGACAAGCGCCCGACAAGATCGAGCCCCGTGAAATCCATGTGGGTTTCTGAATATTTTTCACGAGGCTTGTAGGAGGCGAGGGTGAGGAGGTACCACAACTTACTGGAAGGGGGGCACTTTCAAACGAGAAAGGGCACTCAATCCACGGGCGGCTTTCTTTTCCACCCGAGGGAAGTCAGTGGCCAAGCCTGGATCCCTCTCTCTCTTTGGTCGGGGATCGCCGTTCTTCTCGAATCGAGAGCCCTTAAAGCACGCTCGATCGAGGGCGCTCGCACGCCTGCGAGTGCCCGAAAGTTTCCGCTCGTGAGGTCCTCTTGTTGCTGCCTGGTCCGTGCGCCCCTGGAGGAGGAGGAGGAAGAGGAGGAGGAGGAGGAGGAGGATGAGGAGGAGGGAGGAGGAAGAGGAGGAGGAGGAGGAGGAGGAGGAGGAGGAGGAGGAGGAGGAGGAGGAGGAGGAGGAGGAGGAGGAGGGCGGAGGAGGAGGAGGAGGAGGAGGAGGAGGAGGAGGGCGGAGGAGGAGGAGGAGGAGGAGGAGGAGGAGGAGGACCAGGACCTCTTTGTGATGCTCCGGGGCCCTGACCACGGCCCCCAGAGGTCCGACGTGAGGAGCACGCCGGGAGTGAAAACCAGCACGACGGCCGGGCGTGGGGAGCTCGGCCACTCGCGAGCGAGTCTCGGTGGAGGCGCTGCTCGGAAGCACACGGGTGCCCGGCAGAGCTTCGCAGTGCCCGCGCCTCTGACCGGCCCGCTTGGCACCAGCACCCGCCGGCTCTCGTGAGGAGGCAGCCTCTCCTCGCCGCTCCGCTGGGCACGTCGGGAGGGCGGGCCGGTGCCGTTTCAGATTGGGGCCCTCGCTGGGGAGGTCTCCGGATTTTTGTACAAAATAAGCCGAGGCTGTGCAGCAGATGCGCGGCTGGAGGGCGGCTCCTTGTCGAGATGACGCTGTTTCTTTGACTTTCTTCGAGCTCAGCGGCAGTGCCTTTTCACTCGTGCAGCAGCCGCGCGCGTGGGGGTGGTTACTCTTCAAGACGGGCCTGTGGTGTAGACTTCGTTAATTGTCATCGCCGAACATCTGGGCCTTACTTGATTGCTACGAATACAAGATACAAAGGCCGGAGGGCGGTGCCTCCCGGGGCCTTTGCCAGAATGGCAGGCACATTTGGAGCTCGTCTTTCCAGTGGGCGCTGCCCGTGAAGAAGGAATGCTCGCAGGGACTTTCGGGGAGAGGACTCGAGGCGGGAGGGTGTATTGCAACCTCGGTGGTGCATCTTGGGTTGCCTCCTCTCCCCCCCTGTCTCCTTCATTTCCTCCTTCTCCTCTTCGCTGCTGCTTTTGCTCTTCCTCATTCTGGTCCTCCACCACCTCCTCCTCCTTGCTTTTCCCTCCCTCTCCTCGTCTGCTCGCCCCTCTCCTCGCCCGCCCCCCCCCCTCGTGCTCTCACTTCTGCTGCGCTGGAGATGCCCGCCTGCGCGCTCGAGCCTCGGGGCTTGAATGTCGGAGGCCTGACTGCAGGCCTCCGGCCTCGAGCCTGGCGCCTCGGGCCGGCCTGCGAGCGGCCGCGGCGGTGGGCTGGCTGCGGGCGGCGGTGGCGCAGGCAGGGCTACTGCGACCGGCGCGCGGTGTCGCTGCGGCAGCAGCTGGAGAGGGACGTGCTGAAGCGCTCTGGGCGGCAGGGGGGGCTGCAGCCTTGATTCTCGCTCTTCTCGTCGGTCGTCTTCTCTTTGTCTCCGTCGTCCTCTTTCAGAGGAAGACCAGGTACCCATTCCGCTACCGTTCCCTCGTTTTCCGCTTTTTGGGCCTCCTGGGAGGCCCTCGTCGCCACCGCTGGATTCCCTTCGAAATTCTTGACGCTCACCAGCCCATGCAGAAACGATCAGCAGGGGTGTCGGTGAATCAGGGGCGGCAGGACGCATGCAGTTGCGCAGCCGTCTTCGGGAAAGCAAAGATCACAAAGAGCTTCCCGCATTGAAGTTTCAGATGGAAATCGCTGCAATCTACGATGGTGCTTCGATGAGGGGTGAGGGGTGTTTCGATGACTCGTCATGGCTGTTGCACTGATTTATATCTTAAACTCGCGTGCGTTTCGAAACTCGGAGCCATCTTGGGGCTCTCTTGGGGTTCTCTTGGGGCTCTCTTGAGATCCTCTTAGGGCCTTCTTGGAGCCCTCTTGGGGCTCTTTTGTGACATCCTGGGGCCCTCTTGGGGCTCTTTTGGGGGGTCTGGGGGCCTTCTTGGGGCTCTTTTGGGATGCCTGAGGGGCCTCTTGGGGCCGTCTTGGACCCTTTCGCTAAAAAAGATGTGGGGTTCTATTTCCCATCGCCCCCTCGGAGGCTCAAAAATGCCGTCTTGGGGCCCTCTTGAAGCGCTCTTGGGCGCTCTTGGGGCCGTCTTGGGGCCCTCTTGGGCCCCTCGTGGGACTATCTTGGGCTGTCTTGGGGCCATCTTGAGGCCTCAAGAGCCCATCGGAGGCAAAAAAGCGGGAAGGCAAAACACATGGATTTTCCTAAGGTTTTCGAAGGATTTTGGCCTCTTGGGGGAGTCCTCGGAGGGCTCGGAGGGCATTTGAAACCGTCTTGGGGCAGTCTTGAGGCCTCTTGGATGCGTGTCGGAGGCTATTTTGAGCCATCTACCGCTATTTTGGGCCATCTTGGAGGTCATCTCGCACTCTCTGAAGCCCTCATGGAGCCATCTTGGGCCGAATAGGGCACTCTGACACCTCGCGGGGGAGCCCGTCCAGACGCAGGGAGGGGGGGGGAGGTAAACCTCCCGAGCAGGGAAAGGAAGGAGGTTGGAAAAGGAAACGCTCTAGACCACCTGCGCCCAGAGGGCTGGTGTGATTTTGGTCAGAACGCACCCCAGGAGAGGTCCGGGGAGTAGCGGTATTGGTACCTTTTGGTTTCCTTGTCGTCGTCGTCGTCGTCGTCGTCGTCGTCGTCGTCGTCGTTGCCTTAGGCGGCGGCGGCGTCGGCGTCGGCGTCGGCGTCGGCGTCGGTCGTCTTCTCTTTGTCTCCTTAGTCTCCTTCGTCTTCTTCCCAGCATTGGAGTGAAGGGGCCGAGCGCTCTTGCATGGTCCCTGTGTGTGCATGTGGCTGGAGTGGGGCTCCAGGGTGCGGATTCAGGCTGTTCTTCTTTTTCTTCTTCCTCTGAACGGCCCAGCCCTTGTACCCACCCGTCGCCCCACCCGCGACCCACCTGCGACCCGCCGCGTGATTCGCTCGCCGACCCGCCGAAGTGTCTAAAAATTGTCCTGGCGGCGGGCTTCTTCGAATACGCTTCCGAGCTTCGCAAACTGCCGACGACTTCGCCCCTCACCCAGATCCGACTTCCACCTGTGTGGGCTATATAGGTAGTAAGAATTCGTACACTTTTTTCTCTTTGACATCCGCCGCCCACTCCGCGCTCCTCCTCCTGCTCCTCATCTCCATCACCCTCCTTCCCTTCCCCTCCCCGCCCCTCTCCCCCTTCCCCCTCCCCGCCCCCGCCCTCTGATTCCCCTCCGACGGCGGCGGCGGCGGCGACGGCAAGCTATGACCAAATGCGCCTGGCAGAGGGGCACGAAGTCCTTCTCCCCGGGGCCGCGCCGATGGCCGCCGAGGGGGCCGGTCCACGGCCCGGGGCCACGCCGGTGGCCGCCGGAGGGGGCCGGTCCAAGGCCACTGCTCGACCCTGTTGGCGAGTAGAGACTAGTGTGTGTAGCCATGCTGGCTGCCTCTGGGCGGAGATGTCCCCAAGTGGGACCAAGCGGCGTCGAAAACCTGGGGGGGGCGACGACGCACGCCGCCGTCGACGCCGCCGCCCTGCAGTTTTTGTGTTAAGGCGCGCTCCCAGAGGTCTCCCGTCGTGACAGCTGCGCGTGGCCCGAGACCGGCCAGGGCGGATGCGGGGAGGGGCCGGCCCTCGGAACGGAGGGGGCCTCGCAGCGACGCTTCCGAATGGAAGGAGCGCTCCCGTGAAGCCTCCCCCCCTGCCTTCTTCGAGGCTCCCCCCCCCCTCGCCGCCCCCACTCGTGCGCCGCCGATGTTCTTCCTCCTCGACATTCGGGGCCCACCTCGATCCCATCGACCCGACTCGATTCGATGTCGATTCTGGCCGGCTCGATCGGGGGTTCGATTCCGATAGTTCGACTCCGATGATTCCGAGGATCCGATGCGGTCAGATGCTTGCATGCCGCTATCGTGCCTTTTTGCCTCAGCCGACTGGGTTCGATTTCGATTCCGTGTCGATGCAGCCCGACCCGACGCAGAATCCGATTCGATCCACTGTCCCGATTCCATGCGGATTGATCCTGACCTTTTCCCTGCGCTTCTCCCGCTCCAGGACCCGGCTCTCCGCCCCCTCCTCCCAGGCTCCCCGTTCGCGGGGAGAGGATGATGAGGATGGGGATGAGGATGAGGATGATGAGGATCGGGATGAGGATGATGATGATGATGATGATGATGATGATGATGATGATGCTGATGATGCTGATGAGGATGAGGATGATGATGATGATGATGATGATGATGGTGATGCTGATGGTGATGATGGTGGTGATAACGATGATGGTGATGGTGATGATGATGCTGATGGTGGTGATGGTGATGATTATGATGATGACGACGATGACGATTCTAATAGTGATGATGACCATGATGAGGATGATGGCGATTATGATGATGATGATGATGATGATGATGATGCTGATGATACTGATGATGATGATGATGATGATGATGATGATGATGATGAATCTGACGACAATGATGATGATGGCGATGCTGATGATGTTGATGTTGATGATGTTGCTGCTCCTACTGATGATGATGGCGCTGACGACGACGATGCTGATGACGAGAATGATTCTGATGATCATGTTGATGATGATGATGATGATGATGATGATGATGATGATGATGATGGTGATGATGATGATGATGATGATGATGATGATGATGATGATGTTGATGCCGATGATGATGATGATGATGATGATGATGATAATAATGATGCTGATGATGCTGCTGATGATGATGTTGTTGATGATGATGATGCTGATGATGATGATGATGATGGTGGTGGTGGTGGTGGTGTGGTAATGATGATACTGACGATGACGATGACGGTAATGACCAGGATGATGCTGATGTTGATGACGATGATGATGATGGTGGTGGTGATGATGATATTGATGATGGTATTGATGATGACATTGATGATACAGATGATACTGATGATGATGCTGGTGATATGGAGGATGCTTACGATCATGATGATGCCGACGAAGACGATGACGATGACGATGACGATTGTGGTGACGATTATGATGATTATGACGATGATGCTTATGGTGATAATGATGATGATGACGATGATGATGATGATGATGATGATGATGATGATGATGATGATGATGGTGATGGTGATGGTGATGGTGATGGTGATGCCGATGACGACGACGATGACGATGACGATGATGATGATGATGATGATGATGATGATGATGATGATGATGATGATGATGATGATGCTCATGATGATGATGGTGATGATGGTGATGATGCTGCTGCTGATGATGATGCTTATAGTGATGATGATGACGATGATGATGATTCTGATGTTGTTGATGTTGGTGATGATGCTGATGATGCTGATGCTGATGATCATGCTGATGCTGGTGCTGAGGCTGATGACGATGACGATTATCATGATGATATTGTTGATGATGATGAGGATGATGATGATGACGATGATGATGATTGTGATGCTGCTGCTGATGGTGATTGATGTTGATAAGGATGGGGAGCAGGAGGAAAGGGATGATACTGATGATGATGATGATGATGATGATGATGATGATGATGATGATGATGATGATGATGATGATGATGATGATGATGATGATGATGATGATGATGCGAGGAGGAGGGAGGGGGCAGCGGGAGGAGGAAGGAGAAAGGAGGAGGAGGAGGAGAGGGAGGAGGGGGGGGAGAAGGTCCCTCCTTCTCATCCTCGTCCCTCCCCGTCCTGCTCGTTCCCTCGCCCTCCCCTCTCCGCAGTTCCCATCAGCGCAAGAACGTCCAGATTGAGACCAGTCATACCGTTAGCATAACGGCATAAGTACGGCAACTCTTAAGTCTGCACTTTAGAAAAGAGTGCCCGTATATAGCTACGCCCTGCCATGCACATGCATATGTACACGTTCCTTCTCAACTTTCCGTCTTCGTGCCTTTACCAACTCGTTTTCTCCTCCTCAGTCTCCTCCTCCTCCTGTCCGAAGGTCCGTGGAGGCCCCCCGATGTCTCAGGAGGACCCCGAGGCCTCCAGGAGCCCTCAGATCCCCAAAAGGGCACACAAGTCCCTCTTCCCTCCCCTCATCCTCCCCTCGTCCGCCTCCATCCTCTCCTTCCTCCTCCTCCTCCTCCTCATTTTCCTCCTCCTCCTCCTCCTCCTCCTCCTTCTCCTCATCCTCCCCCCTCCTTCCTCCATCCTCTTTCCTCCTTCCTCCTACTCTAATCGTCGTCCTCTCCTCGCCGACGCCGTTCGTCGTCGCCGTCGTGTCGGCAGCTGCCGCTTTTCTCTCTTGCCGGGACCTCGCGCCCTCTCGGGGCGCAGGCGAGGCCAACATAGAACCCTAGAGTCCTCCCTCCTACTTTCTTGTTGTGTGTGTTTTTGCGTTAAAGCGAGCTCCACATGCACAGCCTGTAGCGTTCTCGTGTGAAATTGCAAGACGCGAGCCGACTTAGGTCCCCATGGCGACGAATATTTTCTTCCCCTTCCTCCTTCTCCTCCTCCTCCTCCTCCTCAGATGTTGGCGACCCCGCCCCATCTTTTCACTCTCTCTCTCTCTCTCTCTCTCTCCCTCTGGACCTCTTCCCTCTGTGATCAGTGAACCTCCTCCTCCTCCTCCTCCTCCTCCTCCCTCCCTCGTCCACCCCTGCACGTGCGGCAGGGGAGGCCCCAGGCGTACGAGCTCCGCCGGCAGTACCGCGAGGTCAGCTCCGGGCTCGCGCAGGGTGCGGCAGAGGTGGCCCAGAGGCTGCTGCAGGCGGAAGGCGCCGCCCGGGCGTTGGACGGCGAAGACGCCGACGACCACGACGCTGGTGGCGACGACGCCGACGGCGATGCTGCCGGCGACGACGCCGACGACGACGTCGTCGATGAGGACGGCGACGACGACGACGACGACGCCGACGACGACGACGACGACGACGACGACGGCAGCGGCGGCGGCGGCGAGGATGCCGACGCCTTTCGTGTCCCCCGCCCAGGCCGTCGGAGGTCGCCGCACGCCGTGTAAGGGCTCCGGTGGCCTCCGAGGGCCTCCGAGGCCCTCCCGACGGTCTCCGAGGGCCTCCCGAGCTTCGAGTCGACCGGCGCCTGGGGCTCTGAACCTTCCCGCTCCGGGGGCCGTCTTCCCATCCTGGGTCGCCTTCCGACGATGCCAGGGCGAGAGAGGATGGCTTCCGGCGGTGCTTTTTCTTCGGGCTGGCAGCGGTCTTGTAAGGAGGGCGGCGTCTTGGGCAAAGAGCGCACTTTCGAGCCCTCGTCAGAGCAGGCGCGGCTTCGTTACAATACAGCGCGGTGCCCGCCATGGCCGTTTGGTCTTTGATTTTATCGGCCACTTCTGCTGCTGCTGGTCTTCCTGCCTTCCTTTGGCGCTGCCCCTGCTTCTCCTGATTCTCTCGCCTCTTCCTGCCCTCGAGCATGATGACGCTACTCCTCCTTCTGCTTTTTATTTCATCGTTTCGCTCATTCCGCCGGCCCTGGAGCGCTATTTGGGGCCTCGTGGGGCCGTCTTGGGGGCTTCTTGGGGGCTTCTTGGGAGCGTCTTGGGGCTCCTTGGCGGCGTATCGGGCTCCCCTGGGGCCTCTTGGGGGGCTCTTGGGGGCCCCTTGGGGCGGGAGGGGGGGTAGTCGTTGGCAGCCCCCCCCTCGGAGGCCACGCTCCTCGTGAGGGGTGGCGAAAAAGAGCCTCCCCCCTGGGGATCGCCCGGGGGTCAGCCGGGGATCGGCCAGGGTTCTTTCCGTCCGGGGCCCCCCAGGGGCCGCCCCGCGCGCGCGAGCTAGAAATATTGTTAAGTAGGTACCGGAGACCTCAGCACGCCTCTGGCCCGTGGGGCCGGCGAATTTTGTGGCTCTCCCTCCTGCGGCCTCCCCCACCCCGGCGCCCGCTCCTGCTTCCCCTCATAATTACCCAGTTCGGCCCCGAGGCGCCCCTCGGCCGTCTCGGCCGCGTCTTGGCCTCGAGCTGCCGCCGAGAAGAAGCGGCCTCTCCCTCTTCACCCTCCTTTCTGCCAGGGAACTGGGTTCGCAGGACGTCGGCGTCAAACCGTACTCATACTATGTGTGCGTCGCCCCCCCCCCAGGGGCGACGCGGGCACCCAGAAATCTTGTAGCATATGCGTCGTGGCGGGCGCTTTCTGGCCACTCCGCTCGGGAAAAGATTTACGACAATGTGGGTATACTATATGTTCGGAGCGGACGCGCGCCTCCAAGGAGGACATATCCTACTGGTATGTCCCTGTGCGTCCCCTGACGCGGCCAGCTCGGGCGAGAGCTCGTTGCACTTTTTCCGCCAGCGGCGGCGAGGCAGAGGCAGTCCGCACCAGCCTGGGGCGATTCCGGGCAACCGCCTGGCAAAGGGGCCGGCGTGCAAGGGAGGGGAAAACCAGAAGGCAGACAGGGCGGCCGCGGAGGACGGGGGGGGGGAGGCGGAGGGCGCCCAGACGGGAAAGAACTCCGCGCGGAGCGCGCCGGCGCCGCCAGCGGCGGCAGCGGGGGCCGTGACAGCAGCCGGGCCGCGGCGTCGGTGCACCCACGGGCGCCGCCAAGGCCCAGGGCGCGGCAGAGCTGGCTGCGCC